GGGGGGGTTTAGGAGAGGTATTTGAGGGGGGGGGTTTAGGAGAGGTATTTGAGGGGGGGGGGTTTAGGAGAGGTATTTGAGGGGGGGTAGGAGGGGTTTGATGGTGGGGGGGGGGGTAGGAGAGGTTTCATGGTGGGGGGGGGGTAGGAGAGGTTTGTTGGTGGGGGAGGGTAGGAGAGGTTGTTGAGGGGGGGGCCGAGAGATTGTTGTGAAGGGCGTGTGTGCTTCTCCTCATTGTGGTCACGCCGTGATCCACCTTAAGCTGCTGATTTGGTCCTGCTTACTGCAGGACCAAGCGCCACGCCGTCCGAAGCGTTAATGAGCAGTGGCATGAGACCAGCGCTGATTTATATCTTTTCAGATTCAAGCAGAATGATGTGCAACCAAGTGGTATTCGTTTATGATGACTGGGTTTGCGAAAAAGGCTTATTTCATGAAAACAGTGATAAAATTATCATTTGTACATTTTCAAAAGTTTAATTATAGAAAAATTGGAAAAATATTTATTTCAACAGGTTCGTAATGTAATATCCTATCGATTGGCGTATTTGGATTTTAATTTCATCTATAAATGACAAAGTTACAAGCGTTCAAAACCTAACACTCCTTCACCACACATATTTTTTGACTTGCACCCCAGTATAGTAGACAAAGACGTAGTTCTACGTCAAAAAGAATCTCGTTACCGCGCTTGCTAGAGTTCGGTCACTTGTTGCCGAAGAATTTGAGCTTCGGGAGCAAAATATGAGAGAATCATTCGATCGGGTGCAAAATTGAGAGAGGCACCGAGAATACGCTGAGTGTTTGGGAGATCGTTTGGTCATCGCGTGGGGTTAAGCTACAAACGAAAAGATCCGAACGGCATTCCGTTAACTATTGTTTTGGCACGCGGACGTGTGCTATTTTTGCTCCGCGATGAAGATGGCCGAAAAATCGACCAAGCGTCACGACAGGCTGGAATTAATAAACATGGTTCAGGAACAGATTTATCTATCTATCTATCTATATATATAAAAATGAATTTCTGTCTGTCTGTCTGCCTGTCTGACCCTTATAGACTCGGAAACTACTGAATTGATTGGCGTGAAAATTTGTAAACAGGGGTTTTTGGGGCCGTGGAAGGTTCTTATGATGGTTCGAGACCCCTCTCCCTTCTGTAAGGGGGGGCTCCCATACAAATGAAACAGAAATTTCTGCATAACTCGAGAACTAATCAAGCAAATGGAACCAAATTAGGCATGTGGGGGCGAGTGTGGGGGTATAAGGAGATAATCATAGGGGGTAGCCCCTTAGATAATAGGGGGGGGGGGCTACGTACAATATAGCATGTTTTTTTTTTTAAATTGGCGCATAAACAAAGCTAATATTGAATCCCGAGCAAGACCGGGCACACTCAGCTAGTAATATATAAATATTTCATAAGATAAGGTAATAGATACAAATACGATTGATATCAAATTACAACTAAATGAACTTTCAATATACCGAAACGAGTTCCCATAATCAAGAAATGAGTTTCAGTCGAATGATACACACCAACGGCATGATGTCATACAGAAAGCATTGGTAAAGGGTGTACAAAGTTAAATTGCATCACTTTCAAAAAGCTCTAACAATTGCCCTTTGGATTCATTTTAATGAAATTTTGGGTGAGTTGGCCTCAGCGTGTATTTTTCACACTGCGTGAGTTTCATTACGAAATTTCTTGTAGTTTTGAAAATGAAGTTGAAGGAACAGCGCGTGCGCGAGAAAATTATGAACACTCACCTTAACAACCCACATTTTTCGCACCGAGCCATCGGAAATATGTTGGGAATCCAACAATCTCGAGAACAATCTACTGTTTCTCGTTTCATAACACGTTTAGCTGTTGATTGGAAGCCAGTGAGTGCAAGAAAAAGTGTTCAGTACTGCGTAAGCTGTACACACGAATTTTGACAAAATTGAGGGGTGATTCACTTGTGTATTTTCGATTCAAGCCAACGTTTTGATGAACATAAAGGGCGAACACGAAATTATTGCGACACATTCGACAGAGCATAACTTTTTTTTTGGGTAAAAATCAACCAAATTTTGCACACTTTCTCAATGATGTGTATTGTGTACATGCTGTCAAACTCGAAGTCGTGTTTTTCGATTCAACGAAAATCGAGGTGAACCAACGCGAGTTGAGAGAACAAATTCTTTCCAAACACCTGGAATTTCCTGACCTGCCGCACCGGCAGTTGGGAAAAATGTTGAACATTCACCATTCAACCGTCTCCAGAGTGTTGAAGCGGTTCCAGGAGCGGTTGACGTTGGACCACGGCAAAGGAGCTGGAAGAAAACCGGGACCGGAGAACAAAAAGACGGAGGGAAAGGTGAAGCGGATGATTAAAGCAAATCCCAACGTCTCAAGCCGTGATTTGGCTAAAAAGATCGGCATGTCGCAGAGCTACGTCCAGAATGCAAAGAAGAGAGCTGGACTACATACATACAAGGTACAGAACTTCCCAAACCGCGATGAGCGGCAACAATCGACGGCTAAAACTCGGGCACGGAAGCTCTACGAGAAGATGCTGACAAAATATGGCTGCTGTGTGATGGACGACGAAACGTATATAAAAGCCGATTTTAAGCAAATTCCGGGGTTGGAGTTTTTCACCGGCAAGAGCAAGTTCGATGTGGACGACAAATTTAAGAAGAAGAAAATGTCGAAGTTCGCCTCAAATATCTCATTTGACAGGCCATCTGCTCTTGCGGACTGAGGAAAGAGCCTTTCGTGACAAAGGGCACAGTAAATGGCGAGATCTACAAATCTGAGTGCCTCGAGAAGCGCCTTTTGCCGTTCTTGCAGCAGCACGACGAAGCTCCGCTATTTTGGCCAGATTTGGCATCATGCCACTATTCTAAAAGTGTCCTGGAGTGGTATGAGGCCAATTCTGTCCATTTTGTTCCAAAGGACATGAATCCGCCAAATTGTCCGGAGCTGCGCCCGGTGGAGCAGTACTGGACAATAATGAAGCGGGAACTTCGGAAGAGCAAGAAGACAGTCAAAGACGAGAAGGACATGTTAAGAAAATGAAAAAAAAAACTGAGAAACTGGTACCGGATGACACTGTAAAGACTTTGATGGAGGGCATCAAGCGAAAATGCGTTCAATTTTACACTCAAGGCTCCCCCTAATAAAAATTGTATGGTTAATTTGCTTAACGACGTGTTCTGGGTATCATCCAAACCATTTGTGGAATAGTTCAATGATTCGGGTTATCGTTCGTTTATGGTTATTTTTTATTAGGGCCATCGATTAACTTTTCTTTTGATTTTTGAAGTAAATATATGTATAAAACTACCCTAAAATTTTGGTTTGATTCTAAACATTATAAGAAAATGGGCATGACATTTTCGGTGTCGCAATAATTTCGTGTTCGCCCTTTATTGAAGTATTTTTTTTATCGAATAAATGTTTATTTTGTGTAATAATGTATGCTTTTGAATTTTTTGAATGTACGTAATTTTCTGAGCATTATAAAAACAAAAGTGTAATTTTATGCATTAATGTATTGAAAATCAGTTATAAGTGTATTCTGTCATTTCAGTGTTTATGTTTACCACTCGAATCGAGGATCAAACGGATCAAACTCTAAGAGAAGAGGTGACAATACGGGGGCAAAAATGAACCACTTTTCTGTCAAACGTGAACCAGCTCGTGATTGGCTGATTTGATGTGCGTAAGATAGAGATAGAGATCGATAAAGATAGAGATAGAAATAGAAATTAAAGAGTAAGAAGCCAATTAATAACTTAAAAATACCCACTGATGAGTAGAACAGTAGAAACAGCAAATGTCGAAGTTCCCCAAGAAATTCATGATCTGTCAGGCGATTTGTTCGTACGCAAAACGGAGCAAGCCTTTCGTAGCAACTACAAGCGTAAATGGCCAAGTCTACATGAATGAGTTCCTGAAGAAATGACTGCAGAAGGATATCAATCCCCCAAACGCACCGGAATTGCGGCCAATCGAAAGATACTGGGCTATAATGAAGCACGAACTCAGTAAACATCCTAAAGTTATCACTACTGAGCAAAAAATGTTAAAGTCATGGTTGAAAGCAGAAAAAAATGTCGATTCAACCGTTGTACAAAACCTTATGGGTGAGATTAAGAAGAAAGGTCGGGCATTTGAATTTGTTGAAGAAATAGAGTGAAATTAAGATACGTAAACCAATCTAATATATAGTAGGGGAAATGACGGCTTCGGCATTACAAACTATTTTCGGCAACCCAAAGTGAAACACTATTTTCACTGGATTTTCTTACGAAAACACTTCGCTGAATGCATGCAAACGATTCTTTATGCTTTCAGCTTCAATTTGACTATATTTTTACCACTAAGAAATAGCAATCTAGCAAGGTTTTCTAGAAATGCAACACACGCACTACAAATTGTAGCTGATTTCGAGTTGCCGATAATAGAACAGCAGATTTACATGCAGTTCAAATGGAACGGTTGCCGAAGAAAAACTGGTTGCCGACAATACTCGCTCTCACTAGAGAAGATTGGAGCTTTGTAAAAGTGTTTCAAAACAGTTTTTGACAATTCTTTCGACTGAAATTGTTAGAGCAGCTGGCAGTAAAAGATTGTAAACAAACCAATACTGCATATGTGTGCGTTCCTTAGAGAAAAAGGCTATAGAAAGAAGGTCGCTGCTTAGGTTGCCGAGAATACGTAAATTCCCCTACTACATTCCTTGAAAATTTCATGACGATTGGTGAGAGACTTACTTTTGGCGAGTACTTCTAAGTTATGCAATTTAACTGTGGACACCCTTTATTCACTTGTCATAAATTGATTTACGGCCTGATTCCCGTGTTAATCAAATTTACATCCACCGGCACCGAAGGCCTTTCGAGGTGAACTAATTACCCATTTACAACGCATCCAATCTGCATTGCACCTCTGTCTGAGCTACGCAGCAACTGCAAACACCCCATCAGCAGTCATTAAGTTAATTAACCTCTCAGTGCGACTTCTGCTGCAAATAATTCAACCCAAATACCACCCATGAGGTACTCACCAGCCCCATTATGAACACCACCGAGTGCGATGCAATCAGGATCCACTCGGCTGTCGATGGGTAGATGTAGTCCATCAGCAGTTGCTGGTACTCCTCGTTCGTTAGATTGCAGTACAACGGATCGCCCACGCAGGTCACATTATGATCGATGAAGCAGTTCTCGTTGTACTCTTCCATATAGTACTCCTCATCGCACAGGACGTCGTTATGGTTGTCCAGGTTGATGATGGTGTAGTACGGAGTAACGTAGGTCTGGTTCCCATCTGCCGATGATTTAGTGCCGTTGTTGCTGTTGGTGGTGCAGCTTCCGGCCGGATCTGGCAAGTTGCTTCCGTTGCGACAAATTGCGCCATTAGAACTCTCCGATAGCGACTGGTCGATTCTCGCACTCATCGTCGAAGCTGTCAGCGACAAGGATGATGAAGATGACGATGATAATAGAGATTCTTGCACTTTAATTACATCGCGCTTCACCAGATGAGTCAGCTGTCGTCTGCTGGCGACGCCGGTCGTGGTCGTCAGTGATATGCTTTTCATCACATCAACGTCGGTGATGGAGTCCTGTTCCCCGAGGGATGCTGCTGAACTTAACGAGTTTGTTGTTTTAGGATAAATCTTATTTCGATTTTCCCATCTGATGGCATCGGCGGAGGCGACTGGCAATACTGTCCAGTGAGGGATGAGCTGGTGCCGGTCAAGGGAAGGAGTACTATTGACCTCCTGAGCGTCGCCCACGCTCAGGGCGGTAAATAGTGCAAGGAACAGTAAATGGAGGGATGACAGAGCCGGGAGCGCCATTCTTCCGGTATTGTTGGAATGCGATGCGAGCAGAGAATCTGAAAAGAGCAGAATAGATATGATGATTATTTATGTTGGAGTCAGAATAATGGCAGCATTAGGTAGGAATTCCAATATGATTGAGGTAGTTTGCGATGAAGTTAATGCAAATGGGAAGTTTATGCTTTGGATTTTTTTTTATATCTAGAATGCATAACATGAATCTTAAATACATTTCACGAGTGTTGAGGTACATGGAATCTCAAATCCATCATGGCCATTAAAATAATGAAAATTAATCTCATTAAATTACTAATCGAAACGCTATGATGTTTCATTTCAGACGGTCTTTGGAATCGGGCTTTCTCAAGGGACATAATGGTATCAACCGGTGGAAACTAACGATTTTGAGTTGGCTCACTATTTGACTAGCCTATTGGTCCCAAGTACATCTATAAGCGTACCCAATTCTAGTCTAAATTCTAGTACTACACTATGTTTGTTTTGATTAGCTATGAAAATTTGACAGATAAAATGAGGGGTTCGTGGATTTTCCTATGTTTCGAGGGGTGCATCGATAAGCTTGGGACCGAAGATAGTACCAGAGCTAAACCAAAAAGTTGAGCACGTTTCATCGGGATTTTCTAATCTTAGAGTTACTTCTATGGTATCCCCCCACTCCGGCTCTCGTTAATCTAGCGACTCGATAATCTGTCATAACGGCAGTGGCGTCGCCCTAACCTCAATCTACCTGTTCAACAACTCTCAAAACGTAAACAAACAAAACGATATTGGTTCAAATGGATACAAATCTGTCAAACTAGAGGACCCTGTGTCCTTTGAAATTGATTTGAATGTAAACATGACCCTAAATAACGTTTTCAAAGTTGTTGAACAGATAAAAAGTGAGGTTACGCGACGCCACTGCATAACGGTCTGTTATGGACATTTTTTACAGTGTTAGGTTGGTACCAATGTTTTGTATGGTTTTGACTGTCAGATTATCAGATCAAGCTCACTAATAAAATTAAGCCATAATAGACGCGATCAGCTCAATCAAACGTACTTTCGAATGTTTCAGTCTCGGAGCACTTAATTTTACATGACATGTTTGTTTACGTCTCATCCTTTGTGTTGAAGATGGATTCCGTCACGTGCGAAACCGAATTTTTTGTCAGTGCGAATTTCAACTTGAGTTAGGTTTTAAAAAGAAGCGAGCCAACTGACGTTTGTCAGAAAATAAGCAGACCCAATCTTGATACCCGATCCAGGTTGAAACTGAATAATAAACGAATTCACTATAAGCAACAATCAATACGAAACTAACGATTTTAAATTGGCTCACTACTTGACTAGCCTATTGGTCCCAAGTAAACGATTAACGTACCCCATTCCGAGCTAATCGATGCACCCCTCGAAACTGTAAGTTGCGGCTTACCTGCCAGCCTATAGCTGGCCTGATTTTCCCCGGCGGGGCGGCTACGAGCAGAGTACTTCCCCCAAAGACGTTCGGATTTGGCTGGATTGATGAACAAAAAGAGAAAGAAATTTGAAATTTAAGACGTCTATTGATAATCTAACCTTCCCTTTCTCCTCACTGATTCTCGGTGACACACGGTGGGGCCCTTCGACGATAGCGGCGGCGGTTGCGGCTTGTTCACGTCGGCTCCAGACACGGTCTGTGCCAAGCGTCTCCTACTTCACTTTAGCTGCGTAGCAGCAGTCCTTGGCGTTTAGTGGGGAGGGGGGATGAGCAAGGCTCCTTTATCGGAACCCCCCGGCGACGATGGTGACGAATCACCGGACCAACTACTCGCCGTAGATGGTTCTGGTAGTCACCGCAGTGCACTACCCAGGCGAACGCTCCTTCGGTTAGGCCTGCTTCGTCCCTCTTTGGCTCTTAACTGCGGTGGCGAGACTGGCTCTACTGGCTGAGCCACCGCAGTGAGGACGGTGGGTGTTCGGGGATCCTTGGGGTTTAGCGGAAAAATCGTTGAAATTTAGCTTCCCTTGGCGGCGATCCGACACCTTTCGCTTCTGCTCACGAACCACGGCACTTTTCGGGGAAACGAAAACGCCACGAAAACGACACTACAACTTCTCGTTTTCACTTAAAACGGACGGGGCAAAACACGCGTCGATTTCCAACCGTGGCTCGTGACTTTCTATTCTTTTTCCGTACTAGCTGACAATCTCCGACAATACAATCTCCGACATCGTTCTCCTGCAACCACGCTCGAATGTTGTGCTGCTTATGTTTTTCGCCTTCGCAGCGGGAGGAGAAACGGGACCTAATTTTATTCTAAACGCGAGACAATTTAAATCGATCATTTTTACACTACATTTTAATCATAAAAACATGCCTACACGAATAAAATCTACTAAGAAAACAACAAAGCAGTGGTGAGTATGTTGCCGAGCGTGTGACCAAAACAAAAACGAATCATAACAGACAAGGCACACGCTCGTGGCAAACACGTTAAAAGGGTGGATTATTAATTGTCGCCCTAGACGAGGGTTACAAAACATAGGAAAATCCACGAACCCCTCATTTTATCTGTCAAACTTTCATTGAGTAGTACTAGAATTTTGACTATAACGGGGCCCGTTAATCGATTTGCTTGGGACCAATAGGCTAGTCAAGTAGTGAGCCAATTTATAATCGTAAGTTTCCATCGGTTGGGGATACTGTTTACGCAGCGAGTACTGCATAATGTACAATTTGAGGTACTAGCTTAAAATAGTACAACCAACAATCAATACGAAACTAACGATTTTAAATTGGCTCACCACTTTAGTAGCCTATTGGTCCCAAGCAAACGATTAACGTACCCTATTCTAGTTGAAATTCTATTACTACACTATGTTTGTTTTGATTCGCTATGAAAGTTTGACAGATAACATCAGGGGTGTGTGGATTGATGCAGAACATGCAGGGGTGAGTGAAATAGCTTGGGACTGCTTGGGACCGTTGTTCTGGTACTGAGTGAGCCAAAAATAATAATAATTTTCTTTGGGACCCAGTGGTCTTAGAGTTACCTCTATGGTACAACCATAGAGGTAACTCTAAGACAAAAAGGTCCCGAAATAACGTGCTCAATTTTTTGGCTCAGCTCTGGTACTCTCTTCGGTCCCAAGGTAATCGATTCACCCCGCGAAACATGGGAAAATCCACTAATTCCTCATTTTATCTGTCAAACTTTCATAGCGAATCAAAACAAACGTTGTGTAGAAGTAGAATTTCGACTAGAACGTACCCCATTCTAGTCGAAATTAAATTCAAAATAATCGTTTGCTTGGGACCAATAGGCTAGTCAAGTAGTGAGCCAATTAAAAATCGTTAGTTTCGTATTGATTGTTGGTAGAACGTTAATACAACGGTGTACTTTGTACGTCTGTCCAAGACATTAAATGCATATAAGCTAAATATGTTGTATTTTATTCAATTTGGCTTATTTTCAACTACATCTGAAGTGGTTTGTCATTTTCGTCGAAGCAGTGTCGATGAAATGCAGAATCAAATCCTGTTGTTCCAGGTTCGAAGAGTGTAACAATGCACATTAATCCTGCTTGGTCATCATCGTCATACGTTGTTTTATGATCACTGACAGTTCATTCGTACACTGAGGCAAATTGACTTAAGAATTTCATAAGGCTCGACTTATGACCTACACATCAACGGCGCCGGTGGTGTAGTGGTAAGCGTGATTACCTCTCACCCCAGCAGGCCTGGATTCAATCCCAGTCGGCGCCGCCGGGATGTTCTGAGGCATAACATCTCTGATCACGCCTTCCTTCGGATGGGAAGTAAAGCCGTTGGTCCCCGGTTCATGAGTTGATGGGTCGATAGGTGTGGGAGCTGCCTTCCTGGCACGTCGGTAGCATTGGTGCTCAGCACGGAAAACAAGATCGTCGGAAAAAACAAACCAAAGGAAAAAAAAATTACCTACACATATGAATTTCATAAGCGTGACTTATGAATGATTTTCGGGTAACATGAGGTAACTCTTATACGCTTTTAACCACTTCATTTTCCCAAGCGGGCCTCGTAATCTGAACGTCCATGGTTCGGTTCCAGTCTGCTCCAATTTATTATTTTTTTGTCAACATTATTTTTCATGAGGCAAATCAGGCAAATTCATACTGATTTCTTTTGGCTAAAATTCATAAGCGGATCTTAAGGAATTCTTATGTCCAATTGCCTCAGTGTAGGAAACTGGTTGATATCGTCATCGTTAGGTTCCATGGCAATAGCTCTTGTACATTCTGCGCGCTTTTCGTTCGCAGCCATCTCCTGTGAAGCTGCCTGGTCGTGCATGCATAGTCGCAAATACTCCTCAACTGTTTTTTCGATGTTGATCTGACTATCGTACTCTCTACGCTTCGCCAGGATACTTGGTTCATGGGAGTCAAACAGCTGAAGGAATTTGTTCCCATCCAGTACGTCACACAACTCGTTTTGGAATGGCACGAATAACATTACCATTTCGCGCTTGTATTCCGACCAGAGATGCCAGATTTATTTCTATGCAATTCCGTAGACTTGTTCAAATCTACGGATTTCTACGGATTTTTTTAGTCGGAGGTGATATTTTTTTTAGTTTACGTTCAATGATAAATCGATGTAAGAACTTTTGAAAAACTAGGGACAGCCCTTTGGGTTGTACGCAATGGTGACGTAGGACTACGTGGTCTTATATAATAAATGTTATTTGCAGGAATTTGTGTTTTGTGTTGGATAGGAATTTGAGCGGGGTTCTCTCTGTTTATACTATAGTATGACTATGATTGCCCTGAAAAGAAGCTTTTGATATGAATTTTAGTTGGGACATGTTCAGAAACTTAACTCTTTTGAAAAATCTTGGTGGCCCTGAAAAGGGCCGATGGTAGTACAGGCATGAATACCATGATACTGTTGCACCTGTAGTTTTTGGCATACTTTCACTGATTGCTTCCCGGAGAGATGTTCAGCCATAGCAAGATGTGCGCGTGAGGACCAGACCAGAGTTGCTCTTTGTAGTGCAGTCAATTCCTGGATAGGATCTGAATCCATTGTGTCCTTCTGACAATCGATGTAGGAGATTCAAAAAATGGGGCCACTTTATCTCTTTTGCACTGAGTGTGAGGAACATCGTAGGCTTTCCCAATTGTCGCATCATGGTGAACAAATTTCTCTTCCTTTGTTGCCAATTCTGTACTGAAATCGGTATTGATTTGAGAAAGGATAGATTTCGCTCAATGCATTGCTCGATGAATAAGGCGGTCCTTAAGGTTGACACGTGTAAAGTTTGCGGTCCCCGTGCACTTAAAAGTGAATTGCAAGCCTTCGGAAACTCTAAGGCGATGAACTTTCATTGACGACGAGTTTCACTGGATGCCATCATGAAATATGTCACCCGAACCCCTGACTTGAATTTCCGTAGATGTCCGAAACATATGGCAGGCAAAGCTATCTCTTCACCGTGCTCGTCATAAATTAATGACAGGCGAACCCTGTTTTGCGCGGGAGCGATCTCCAGGCATTTGTTCTCATTCCAAAGGAGCGTTTCCTCGGTGCTCAAGCAGCAATTCTGTCTCATTATCCACGGCAATGGTTTCCAGCTCAATTTGAGGATCCACTGCAGGGGTTTCAAGACCATCTATGGCAATCTGATCAATTGTGATCCTGTAGCAGTGGTACAGTGAGGTGCCATTTGATGAACACGTTGAAGGCCTGATCATCATCGAGCTGACGGGGAATAGAGCGGCGTCTCTCTTACACAACGCAAACGGTAGAACAACATTCGAGCAAAAAGAAGATTATCAAATAACTATCATATGACACATGTGATTTCGTTCTAATTCCTCAATTTGGTGTAAATTAAACCATTTCTGATCAATTTTTTTATTTCTATGACATCGTTGCTTGCTATTTTTAGAATTCACACAAGCACACCATCAGCAGCTCTTATTATGAGAAAAATTAAAATACATACATTCGTGATGCCCTTGGGCGACAGTGTCGTATGACAGATAATTGAGCAAGAAAACGGTTGACAAGTTGCAGAGGTGTATTTTACTTTATGCTTCTTTCCCTTCAGAATCAGATTATGCTCTAGATTGTAAAATTCGATACTGAAGGGAGACGTACACTGAAGAGAAAAATCCGTAGAAACTGTACCGAATTCCGTAGATTTTGCCTACGGATCCGTATTTCCGCAAAAATTTGTAAAATTGTAGATCTACGGAGATTTCCGAAGCCTACGTGAAATCCTTCCAATATAACATTCGAATTGAAGAAGAAAACGTTTTTACGATCAGACTGATGTGCATCTTTGACTTTTCCAGGTGAACTTTCATAAGATATATTCATTTAATTTCACGGCTCCATCAATGCTGCATCGTAAATATGATGGTAAACAGAAGTAAATTACTCAATTACTCAAAATAAAGATGATTTGTCATCTTGTTATCACTTTGAAGACCATCTAGCACCATTTTATAGTATGGTGCGTGTTGAGTAAATCAAGTTCCGTTGCGTTTTCCGTCGAAAATTGTGAGTATCAATCTGTTTACCTAAAAAAGGCTAAAATGAACATTTATCGAATATTAGCTTCCTATACAACCATTTTCATAATCACCAGCATGATACAATTTTTCCTAAGTAAATTCACTTAATTTCCACTTTCATCCTAGTGGAAATCGCACATATTCACCATTTTCCGAAAAATGCAGCTGCGCAGGAGGTAACCTCTCCCTGTGGGTGCAAACTTGTTATGCATAATTTTCCATGAAAACATCTCCGATCCATACCGAAATAATAACAGTTAGTTTGCAAACACGTTTTCTTACACGATTCAAGCAAAAGTATCCACCGGAAATTATTAGTTTTTCTTTATGGACCGATTTGCCCCAAAAATCGTCTGTTTTACTTGGAGAATTTGGAAACTATCCTCCTTCTAGTAGTTCTCAAAACGGCGCCGGTGGTGCAGTGGTAAGCGTGATTACCTCTCACCCCAGCAGGCCTGGGTTCAATCCCAGTCGGCGCCGCCGGGATGTTCTGAGGCATAACATCTCTGATCACGCCTTCCTTCGGATGGGAAGTAAAGCCGTTGGTCCCCGGTTCATGAGTTGATGGATCGATAGGTAGGGTCCAGAGGTGGGAGCTGCCTTCCTGGCACGTCGGTAGCATTGGTGCTCAGCACGGAAAACAAGATCGACGAAAAAAAAAACAAACCAAAAAAAATAGTAGTTCTCACTTCGAAATGTAGGTGGCGAAATCTTGGAAAAGTTTCACTGCAAGACGCCAATTGCTCTTTCTCTCCTTAGCGTAGAGGGCAGCGAAATCAGCCAAGCAAACATCTTCGAGTCCAGAACGGGTTTCATATTTTTGGACGATATTCATCGTCCACACGTCGGTAGAGTCCGTGTCTTGATTCGTTCGTGGGGCCAAATTGTTGGGATGAATTGCGTTGCTCTACTGCTTTCCGACATTGGTTGGCGAAGCAGATACCATGCAGCTTCCTGCGCAGACATTTCCACAGCGTTGAGCATCTTTAGGCTGACTTTCTTTAGCAAAGCTGCAAAGTCTTGATCTGGATAGTCGTCTTGAAGCTGTATGAGTTCCCGGTGAAGATTACTCACACCTCTGTCGGATTTATTTACGTATTCAACCACATAAGCGGTGTATGACTGAACTTTGGACCAATCCATTCAACCCCTGGATTGCGTGACACCTAGAACCGAATATGAATACTTGTGCGCCTCAGATGTCTCGCAATCTAGGTGTTGAATTTACTGGTCCAAAGTTCAGTCATATACCGCTTAAGCAGGATGGTTGGTCGGCGAATAGATGCTCGAATAACGTCTAAGTAATAATTAAAGGTGCAACGACAGTTGAGGAAAAATGCTTCGAGATTCTCGTGAACCTTCGTCTCCAAAATCTCTCGCATTTCGTTTGTCTTTCCCATCGTCTGATGGAATAGGAAGCAGAACTCTAGTTTCGTCGATCGGCCAGTACGGTATGAGTTAGTAACAACGCGACCCGCTTCATTATTTAGCAGATTCCCACCATCACACCAGATCCCAAACAATAAACACTTTCATCGATTAGCCGAATCAGCTAATTGTATGCCAAGCCAGACGATAGTCAGATTGGATCACTTTCACTGGAATCACGACGATCACCGATAGCATGATGTCACCAGACCACCCAGCAGGAGAATCACCAGAACGCATTAGCAGCGTTTGCAGAAACAAATAAACACCCGCATTGTTCCCACACTCGATACTAACCAAGAACTAACTTCGTAGCATAAGTCGAATTTGTAAATCAGTCTTAACCGATCACTGAATAAAAGTGGAGCATAGCTCCGAGAATATATTTTTTTGGACTTCCTTAAAGGGAAATCCTTAACTAATGCTGAACCGACAACGATTTTCATTTCGTTTGAAACAGATGAACGTATATGTGTGCACCTACCTAAAAAATTCGACTATTATAGGAAAATATTTATATCTACATTTAGAGCGCTCTCGAGTGCACCCTCAGTGAAAACAAAAATTGAATTTTGATTGGAAGATTAATAGCACTAAAATATCGATTTTTAGATCGGTTCACTGAAAATTCAATTGAGTTTAACGATTTTTTGCGTGATAAATATGAGCACTTTCACAGTTGCTAATTGAGATCTTTCCAAACCTGTACCATTATTGCATTAGTATTGTTTTGTGTCAAGTACAACCATACTCTATTTAATGATTCCGGAAAAACATACTGTACTATTCTGGATCAACAATAGAAAAGGGCCCATAAGCATTTGTAAACAAACCGTTCCAAAGCTCTTTACTAACAAAGCGAAGGCCACCCACGCAAACCAACACCATCATCGGATAGGGGAAACTTCTACCTACACGATGATGGTACTGGTTTGTGTGGGCGGCTTTCGATTTGTGAGGAATGGGCTTTGGAACGGTTTGCTTACAAATGCTGATGGGCCCTTTTCTATTGTTGATCCAGTATTGAAAATGATGAGTGTTTCAATTCGATGCCTTCAATAAATTCTACTCACCAATTTCGTATCTCGAGAACAATCGCCGACTGCTTACTCTCCAATAGTTCAAGCTTCAACAATACTTATTCATTTGTAATAATCTTCAAATTCAAAAACACGAGAGCTTCATAATCATTTCAATAGAATTGCTTCCACCTTCACAACCGGCGGCCACCGTTATTTGTATTCGTTTCCATTATGGCAGCTACCGTTAGTTTTGTAACCAAAATCTGCCATTCATTATGAATGAGCAAAACCGGAGGCATTCTTCGGCTCATTGCAGGGATCCTCTCCAGCTGCATTACTCAGCTTCCTCTCTACCGGAACTCGACCGGCATGTTTCGTCCTTTGCAGTGCGCTCAATTTAAATTCTGTAACGAGACCAGAACGGTGATGGAATGAATAGATTTTGCATTATTTAGTATGATGAATATATAAAGGGTGTATTCGATAGAATTGGCTCACATATAAACAGCTGTAAGTTTTTAACTATTGTACCAAATTAATTGAAATGTATCTGAATGGTGCTGTATTTCGAACAAAACTCATGAGAACAATATGTCTAAAAAATGTACATTCTAAAATCTGAAATCAACGGTTATGCAAGGAAATTCTTTTGTTCTTTTTTCTATTGACTCATGGAATCAATCCAAAATTTGTGCCAAATATAATGTTTCAACATATTGTATAGTTGGTCAAAAATTACATTTCAAAATGTCGGTTTCTTTTGGCTTAAAAAAGCTAAATTCAAACGGAAATTCAATCCTTTCACGCAAAAGAAAAAAGTATTTGGTATAATAACGACCGTTCCGATAATTTATAAATACTCTAACAATGAACCGTTATTTCGAACTGCGTGAAATATTTCACAAAATTTTGGCTGCATCCTGATGTTTACGTGTTGTCAGTTTTTTACCCTTCTTACAAAGAAGGGTATAGATATCACTTGAAAAATCGACTATCGATCCGAGGCCCGGAGGGCCGAGTGTCATATACCATTCGACTCAGCTCGACGAGATCGGAACATGTCTGTGTGTGTGTGTATGTGTGTATGTGTGTGTGTATGTAACGAAATGAATGCGCTCACGTTTCTCAGCAACCGCTCAACCGATTTGGACAAACTCGGCGCCAAATGATAGGTCTTGGGGTCCCATTGAACGCGGTTTTGGAATCGGTGAACCGGTACCGGAGATATGGCTGGAATAAGATCTGGTGAATATGGGCCTTCACGCTGGATTTAACGGAAAAACGTATCAAAACCATCATGCGATACATCAAATTACTACAGAATTCAAAAATAAGATCAATGCAAGTCGTGTTAAGTGTTCCAGACCACATTGGACACACTTGGACATGTTCCGGGTACCCCGGGGAAGTTGCTTGAATATGAATTGAATTAAAACCCATTAAATCACATTAAAATACGATGATAAGGTGATTGGTAGCCTCACCAAATAGACTACACCCGGATATATTCCGGGTACCCCCAGGCAGTGGCGTAGCGTCACTGGATGACACGGGGGTGGGGGGCTTGGTCACTGATAACGACAATAAAATAAATAAACTTGAATAAGTAAGAAGGGTCTGATTACACCATAGGTGGATAAATTCGGGTTTTTTTTAATATTTTGCGAGGAAATGTGTAAATGCATGGCCTTACTCCTGGATAAATAAAACGGATTGTGCACAAATGGTGTACCGTGAGTGGACTTTCCTTAAGAAACCTGGCGAAGGAGTAGGGTGTAAGCGTTGGTGCAGTACAAACTGCATTACAGAAGTACGAAGAAAACGTGGTAGAAAACCTGGCCCCGTTGACCCTGCAATTGACCGGAAGATAACAGTTAAAACGAGCGTCCATCAGCATCAGTGCGAGATGTGGCGAAGAAGATCGGTACTTTGGCAGAAAATGAAAAAAGCAGCCAATACGAAGCAAACAGCAGGCTGCATTTGTGAAGACGAGAGCTCGTAAGCTGTATGACTCAATGCTGAGGGAAAATCGGGTTGTATAATCATGGATGATGAAACATACGTGAAACTCGATTATCAGACTCTGCAAGGACCGCAGTTCTACACTTCGCCCAAAGGAAACGATGTTCCTGAATGCCAGTGTAGAAAAATGTCTCGACCATTTATAACGACAGACGCAATGAATGGCAAAGTTTACGTGAAGGAATGTCTCCAAAACCGACTACTACCCTTCATCAGGTAGCATGACAGACCTGCAATCTTTTGGCCTGATCTTGCTTCCTGCCACTATTTAAAGGATTCGCTAGAGTGGTACAAGAATCATAAAAGCACATATGTGCCAAAATAGATGAATCCACCAAATTGCCCTGAGGCAACTTTCTGGACTTGACAAAGGCAAAGTTTTAGGAAACATGTTTAACCAGCGGTGGTAAAAATTTTAGGCGAAGCTTATGAGCAATGTCAATGGAAAAGTTAGAAAACTCGGCTACTCTCAATAAAATCCTGCAAATTGAATTTATGTGTGAAAGAAAACATGATAATTAACAACACTTAAAAATAAAATTGCCTAAAACTTTACACTAGTTTTAATGAATTTATTTTAAAAATGTTTCTATAATTATCGGAACAGTCTATAGTTAAAAAGTTACTGCTGCCATTTTTATCGAATACACCCTTTAACTTTGTAGACTATATATAGAGTCAAATTTGCCCCTGTACAAAAGCCATTGTGAGACTAGGAAGGAATGTTTCTTGAAATGAAGCTGCTCCATTGTACGCCTTCAACTTTGTATGTAATTGCATTCCCCATAGATGCTTTGACATGCTTGACAGGCAATTTCTTGATCTTCTGAAACATGCAACTGACTGAATCATGCCAATAGTCAACCGCACTTTCTACCATCTGGCAGCTTGAATATTGATATCCATCAAGCTGTTGCTCACTTCGGAGCTATCAGGAATTCCATTGAAGACCAATCGTGGCCTGGGGCGAGATTGCTTCTAATAATCCTTTTTCACACACTTTTGGCTTCGAGCATTCTTTCACAAACCCCAACCCAAATACGGTTTCATTACGCTGGAATGCATCATCGTTTAGGCAAAGCCATCCTGTCTCTAAACCGATGCATTATCAAGACTTGCTTTCCTGCCACCGCACAGTGGCACGAATATGAATAAAGACGGTCAAAAATATTTTCTACCCTTTTTCGACGTTTTAGAGACTGGGTGTCTTAGGAGAAGTTGCTCAAAATTATAACTCACATCTTTTGAAATACACACCTGAATAATCTTTAAGCTAGTATTACACATCCAAATTCTAACTTTTTCCAGTTACGAGATAATGGTTGCAAAGTTGCAGAGCAGTTGATTTCATGAACATTTGCTAAGGACACCAAATTTCTACATCATAACTCTGTAGAGCTATAATAGATTTTCTTTTAAGACTACCTTAATATTGGGTTTTTAAGTTAATTAGTGCTTTTTTCAAATTTGATCAATTTATCATGTTCTAAGAAATTGTTGGCATCATTAAAATATACAACTTTGCTGAATACACCAATGCTTTTCATTGACATCCATGTGATATACAGCCCATCAAGCGTTTTTGTGACGTCATATTCAACGGCTCGAAAAGAGGGTGGGCGGGCCCTGGTGGGGTCTAAAACTGGTTGTATTTTGAAGATTACCTTATAAAATAGTACTTCTGAAAATTTCAGCGTTGGGTACTGAGGGGTACCTAGCCAAATCTCGATTCGAAAATGTCAATATTATATACAGCCCATCGGACGGTTTTGTGACGCCATATTGAACGGCACGAAAAGATGGTAGGTGGCCCCTGGCAGGGTTTAAAACCGATTGAATTTCGAAGATTACATTATAAAATAGTGCTCCTGAAAAATTCAGCGTTGGGAGCTATGAATCAATGATTTTAACCTACACATGTTTGAACTGGCAAATTATTTAAATTATTAAGCTTAATCTGGAGATGTATTTAATGGGTTTGTTCTTAATGTGTTTGTTCTTCAGTGTACCTACATTGATAAAGGGTGATATGGTCAAAATTTGGTCAATATCAACTTGACGTATTTTTTTCAATTTTGCATTTAAAAAACCTGAACACCCCTCATTTTGAAGGTGTGTGTGTGTGTAGAATGTTGCTCCTATTTTGATTTTGGAATTCACTCTTCAGTTGTCAAAATGCCGTCCAAGCAAGAAGAGCAGCGTATCAAAATTTTGCTCGCGCATCGCGAAAATCCGAGCTACTCGCACGCAAAGTTGGCAAAATCGCTAAAAGTTGCCAAATCAACCGTTACAAATGTAATTAAAGTGTTTGGGGAACGTTTGTCGACAGCCAGGAAGTCTGGATCGGGGGGAAATCGAAAACCGGAAGCCGCTGAGACGACAAAGAGAGTTGCCGGTTGTTTCAAGCGAAACCCTAACCTCTCTCTCCGATATGCCGCAAATAAGCTGGGTGTATCGTCTACAACCGTGCATCGAGCCAAAAAACGAGCCGGACTATCGACTTACAAGAAGGTAGTGACTCCAAATCGCGATGATAAACAAAATACGACGGCCAAAGCGCGATCCCGGAGGCTGTACGACGATGCTGACGAAGTTTGACTGCGTGGTAATGGACGACGAAACCTACGTCAAAGCCGACTACAAGCAGCTTCCGGGACAGGAGTTTTATACGGCAAAAGGAAGGGGAAAGGTAGCAGATGTTTTCAAGCACATGAAACTGTCAAAGTTCGCAAAGAAATATCTGGTTTGGCAAGCCATCTGTACCTGTGGCTTGAAAAGCAGCATTTTCATAGCTTCCGGGACTGTCAACCAAGAAATTTACGTGAAAGAGTGTTTGAATAAACGTCTGCTGCCTTTCCTGAAGAAACACGGTTGTTCCGTACTGTTTTGGCCGGATTTGGCATCTTGCCATTACGGTAAAAAGGCCATGGAGTGGTACGCCGCCAACAACGTGCAGGTGGTTCCCAAGGACAAGAACCCTCCCAACACGCCAGAGCTCCGCCCAATTGAGAAATACTGGGCTATTGTCAAGCGGAACCTAAAGAAGACCAAAAAAACTGCTAAGGGTGAGCAGCAGTTCAAGGCAAACTGGCTTTCTGCGGCGAAGAAGGTGGACAAGGTGGCTGTACAAAATCTGATGGCAGGGGTCAAGCGTAAGGCCCGGCAATTCGGATTTGGAAAAGCGGAAGCCTAACTGAATATTTTTCCTGCATTTTATACTAATTGAACTTGAAAAAGAAATTTAATTTGATTTTTTAAATAAACGATTTCACCGATTTACACGCGTTTTCTCTTGACCAAATTTTGACCGTATCACCCTTTATGTACATTCATTGCAATATTGATACTCATATGTTGATAGTTGCAAATATTATGATGCAAG